AGTTTTCTTAATAGTGTAATTTCAGGCACAGGGAGACTATCTCTTTATTCTCATTTATTTACCCACTATGTTTGAAATCTCGTATAAATCTGAGGGGGAAAAAAGTATAATGATTGCTTTAGCTTTCTTTAAAATATAAGTAGTTAGCCAGGCATGGAAGTGCACGCCTGTAATCCCAGCACTCGGAGAGGCTGAGGCAGGAGGATCGCTATGAGTTCAAGGCCAGTTTGAGCTACATAGTGAGTTCAAAGCTAGCCTGAACTACATAGCAAGACCCCGTCTCAAGGAAAAAAAAAGATATGAGTAGTTGACATGGACACATTCAGCAGTGTGACTATGTCTTTTTCATTTGTATAACAGTTTTACCATAGGGTCAGGCTGAAAATGCATATTGTAAATGTTTGTTGAATGGTCAGAGAAGGGTGGGAGTTGAAACGCACGGAGTGACTAACTGAATGTAACTGACTTTGCTGGACAGATGACAGTGTAAAAAGCTTTGTGTTTTTATAAACTCACCATGCTTCCCTTGAATCTTACAGTTGCTATTGCATTTAATAATGTAAATGTTGTTGCCTTTGCTCTCAGACTCTGTTAGAAATATCTGTAAAATATCTAGAGACTGGGAACAAATAGATAACTCTTTCAGCCAATATGAGAAAGTATTCTTGAGGAAGACAACATTGGATTTGTTTGGCATGACACAAAGACATGAACAAATGAACCAGCTGAGCAATGGTTTTTTTCAATAACCAGAGAACAATAACCAGAGTACCAAATTGGAAAGCATAAAGGAATACATAGGCTCTAAACTGTGGTTTCCAGCAATCCAGTTCCCTTTCCTGGAGGCTTACCATAGATATACCAGGTACAGGCTAAAAACTGTCACAACCAAGACATGCTCAAATACAGTACACAAACACAACCAACGCTTGTGCGCTTAGGCAAGGTGTGACTCTTCCATAAAAATCTTGCCGGAGCCCGGTCCTTTCCTGTACTACAACATGGGCAGAGCTAACTGCTCAAGGTTGTGAGGTAGGTGAAATTTGTCTCTGGTAGTCTCAGCTTTTTCTCCTTTGCTTCTTTTTCTGGTGGCTTCTCTCCCTCAGCACACAGAGCTCGTGTAATGCCTTAAACTTCCAGAACCTCACACTGCAGTGTACACTGTTCTCCACCCAACTCTAGGTCTAAACTGCAAATGTACACAGTATTCATGATTTACAAGAATCACTTTTGTAAATTATCACTTTTTTCTGCAAAAAAACCCACTGCACTATAAAAACAATCAAGTACGTTAACTTTCTTCTCCTTCCTATGGGTGGTTTAGTGTCATTGCTAGGACAGCTGGAACTATTTTTAGAGACTGGGTCTTTAAGATTGAAATAAAATGATACATTACTACTTCCTTTTTCTCATTGAAAATCTGTCTTATAAAAGTTGACTTGGTGATACATTAGTTATTGTTATTTTTAATTCTCTTAATTTATTGCAAGAATTTTAAAAAAACTGCTACTAATAAACAATTCTAAGTAGAGGACACGGCCCGGGGAGGGAGGTGGCACACACCTGTGCTTCCAGCCATTCAGGAGGCTTAAATGGGAGGACTGAAAGTTCAAAGCAGCCTGGGCAACTTAGTGAGACCCTGTCTCAAAATAAAAGCCATGAGGAGGAAGTAGCTCAGTGCTACAGCGCTTTTTTTCCAAGCATGAGGTCCTGGGTTTAATCCTCATTACCACAATGAAACAAAACAAAACTTTCTGACCAATACTGGATCAAGACTCAGGAGTGGACACATTTCACTTCAGCTGTACAATGCCTCCCACATTATGGCACAGGTAGAAGATATTAACATTGGTATGACATGCTGATGCAAGCTGGAGGCTCTCTGTGTCTCTGACCTCAGTGAGGTGCACCAAGGTTAGAGAATATTATCTCAACATACCTCATTCGCTGGCCAGCCTGGATGCAGAGGGCTTACCTCAAATGCTGCTATTCAAAATGTGGTTTGGGTTGGTGCAGTGGTGCATGACTCTAGTTCAGGCTGAAGCAGGAGGATCGCTTGAGCCTAGGAATGTGAAATCAGCCTGGGCAACATAAACAGATCCCCAGTTAAAAACAAAAAAGAAAAAGAAAAAAAAAAATGGCTTCCACATGTTATACTTACTGGGCATTAACAAAATAGGATATTGTTACAAAGTTCTTTTCTGCTGTTAGAAGTTGTACTATAATAGTACTGTGTGGGATCTGAGTTTTGTTCGATCCTGTAACTTTCTTATCATCATGGAGCTTCTCTAACCTACATAAACAGTAACAGTATTCTCTAAATGTGCAGCACAAGAGGTATGGTCTACTTAAACCTAACATTCAACTTCCGTAGGAGAGTGTGGGGGGCAAGGAGGACTCACTCAATAGCCATTTAATCTTCGTCAATATGTTTTCCTGTACTGTGCACTAACTGATAAGCCAAAAACTGCATCCTCTATCTCCTGCAGTTACTAATAGATAAATATTTAGATTCCACCAATCAATACCTCTGTGCAAGAACTGCGAGATTATGCTGATAAGCACGGTTGTGGGAGGACTTCTTGTGTTACAGAAGTAGCAGAGGTGCCAGGGCTCAGTTACTAGCTTCCTGAGTATCAGAAAGCATGAGTGGGACATCCACGTTGCCTGTGCAGTTGGTAGGGAGTGATCCTGAAGCTGGCCATGGACGTGACAGCTTCCTGGGCTGTGGTGTTTCAGTGCTGCAGCAGCTGGCTTCTCAGTGAGGAAGAGCTCAGCTCTTTCGGTTTTCCATTTCTTAGGTGTGGTTTTGAGACTTACTCCATCGGCCTTCTCACTTCTCCTTTAAGTGCTTGACTACTTCTAGATTAGACTAACCTTGAATGATAAAGTCTGCTGTTGCAGTTTCTGGACCTCTTACATATTCATTGTTATTTTAGCAAATATTTACTGATGAAGAATTTTGTATTAGCAAGTGTGGAGATACGATTTTCCAGAGGTATAAAGCCAGAGTTTTACTCTGCACAAATTATAAATTGGTTAGAAGATTGTGTTCTTAAAGAATATATTTTCGGGAAAGGAGTTTTGCCCCAATAGGGCAGAAAGTTAAGAATTCTATTTCCAATGTAAGTACCATAGATAGCTCATATGTTCTTTTTAGTATAGTGAAAAGTAGGTAAGACTTGAGAGGGAAAAGATTACTCTTTTCAAACCTCATCTGCCAAATGGAGACAGTAAGGAGCTGCTCTGTCTACCTGAAAAGATTACTGTGAGAATCAAATAAGGCAATGTATGTGACACTCCTTTGTAAATAGCAAAGTGCTGCTCAGTGCTGATTATTTATTTATAACTAGAATAATAGAGCTGGGTGTAGCTCAGTGGCAGGGCACTTGCCTAGCATGTGCAAGGCACTGGTTCAATCTTCAATACTGCAGGGTAGGGGAGACATCATATAATTACTGATAATAGTAACTTACCATACAAACCTCAGGTGATTATGCCTGATTCTTCATTTCAGTGTAAATTCTGATTTTCATATAAGGGTGTGCTTACAGTCAAAGAGTACTTGCTTTGTAAAAGAAGATTCACCTTTAAAATGTTCACAATAAGAAATCTTTTGTTAAAGATTTAACAAATCTTAACAAAATCTTAACAAAATCTTAACAAAAATTTAACAAATCTTTAACATATTTTTGTTAACATATTAACATATTAACACCTTTAATGCATATTTATTAATCTTAATTGTAATAAATCTTGCATATTTATTACAATTGGTTGGTTTACAAATTTAAATCATACCTTTTGGTACATCCAGTGCACAAAAGGAGCCATATCTGTTTAGTTATTTGAAAACTGAGATTGTATTTTTAAAATGGTCTCATTTCAAATATGAGAAATAAATTATAATTGATTTGAAATTAGATAAAATGTGCAGAGTTTACATCATTTTATGTTTCTTTTTCTTGAGCCAGAGAAAGAGCCTAACTTTTAAATTATTTGTATTTTTGGTTTCAATTTCATTAATTTCTGTTCTGATTTTTAATTTTTTTTCTTCTGTTAGCTTCAGTTTTGGGTTGTTATTATCTTTTTAGGTCCTTGAGATGCATCACTAGATAATCTGGAATTCTCCTTACTCTTTTTTATGTGTATTTATAGCTGTAACCTTCCCTCTTAGGACTGATTTCATTGTGTCCCCTTGGTTTGGGTATATTATACTTCCACTGTTATTTGATTCTAGGAACTTTTTTTTTTCTTCCTTTCCTTGATTTTTTTTTTTCTGTAGTCCATTAATTATTCAATAATATATTATTTAAACTCCATGTGTTTGTATAATTTCTGTGACTTCTTTTTCTTTTTATTTTTTGAGACAGGGTCTTGCTATGTATTCAAGGTTAGTCTCGAGCTCACTATGTGGCCCAGGCTGGCTTCAAACTTGTAGTGATCCTCCTGCCTCAGCCTCCTGAGTGCTGGGATGACAGGCGTGTGCCACCACGCCTGGCTAACAACAATGTATGAAGACAGAAAAATGAAAATAACTGAGATATTATTTCGAAGGGTATGAAAGTGATGAGCATGGATAACAAGAATTGAATTTTACCTGTCATCACCTGGTGTATGACTGAGCACTTTATTTTTGCAGATTTGCCACATTTTTTTTTTTAAAAAGAGGGCAGACATCGCAGAAGCTGGATCCCCAAAACAGAAGTGCGTGAGAGCTCTTCAAACAGCATAGTACTGTGGTTACACTTGGCTGCGCTGTGAGCTAATAGCCCTGGAGGCACTTCCTGCAGCGTGCATCCTTCCGGAAGTGTGGCTTTCCACCATAGCTAACCAAAAGTGGGTTAAGTAAAAGGGGCAAAAGAGCTGCATCGCTCCTCCAACAGCACGGCTACGGTGCTTTTTCTTGATTATTTCTGCCCAACAATGGAAGTGGTATCATCAGAAACAGCGCACGGGAACAATCGTCTGTCTCTGAATAGCTGGATTTCACAGGAAACACGTGGTTCTTAAGCAGAACTCGTCTCTTTGGCGCCAATCTTTTGGAAATGTGGCTCACGGTATGGTGTGCATGAGGGTTTTATTTGATTTTTTTACGAGTTGAAGTGGGAAGCAGAAGTGCCGCATTTTCAAAGAAACAGCAGCAGTACTGGAAATTGAGTTTGGGTATGAAAACCTCATAATTTGCATCACTGGTTCAAGTGATGTATTCGTCAGAAAATGGTGATACATTTTACATAATTTGGGGGTCTTTTTAATAGAAACTAAAGAATGAATATGAAACTAGTATATTATCGTTTGTTTCCTACAGAAGTCGATTGAATTTCCTTATCCAGGTGAAAATGGTGAAAACTAATTTTGGGGGGGGACCTAAAATGTGTTTTTATTTAATCGGTACATGCTTGCAATACATGTTTACATTACTTGTGTGAAGTTGGCACACGTACATAACACATCTTAATTCCTGTTTTCATCCCCTGTCCCCTGTCCCTCCCCATCGTGCCCTCTTTTTTTTTTTTTTTCCTTTTTGAGACAGGGTCTCGCTATGCAGCTCAGGCTGGCCTGGAGCTCACTTGGTACCCTGGGGTGGTCTCGAACTCTCAACAATAGTCCTGCCTCAGCCTCCAAGTCCTGAGATTACGGGTGTGCGCCACCACGCCTAGCTCTCCCTCCATTTCTTGATCCCTTTCTCATTTCAGAAAGATCTCCCTGCTTCCTATGATTATGCTCTTTATAACTGTAGTTTCTCATATAAGAGAAACCACGCGATATTTCAACTCATGTGTCTGATTTCACTTGACATTAGGGTCTCAAGGTGCACCCAGAAGCGCTTACATGTCCATCAACAGAGGAATGGATAAAGAAAACGCAGTACTGACACACAAGGGAGTAAGTACTACTCTGCCATAAAGCTGTAATTAAAATTTTCTCATTAGTTCCTATTTGCAGTACCTAATGATTACATTCATTGTCGCTCCTACTTTCACAAACAGCGCATCCTGCGAGGCAGATATAAAAGATCCTGGGGCAACAGGAAAGGGAGGCGACTAAAGGCCGAGGATCCTTAGGGCCCCAGGGGAGGTGAGCTGCGGGCCCAAGGACAAGGAACAGGGTGAAATAGCTCCCAAGAGACAGCAGGATGACTCGGTTTTATATGGAGGCGCAAGGACGTCTTTCACGAGGCAGGGCTCGGACGGGGCATCGGCGGCCAGGGGTCCGGTCCGCCTCGCGCCGCTCCCCCGCCTTCACCTCCTGCAGCTTCGGAGCTGTGCGAGGCCCCTCTGCAGGGATTTCAGAGCTTTCCCCTTCTTTCCAAGAGGAGGCAAAGCATTCAAATTAGGGCGAGGGCGGTTAACACCCGCAAGCCGGGCGTCACTGCACGCCCCGCCGCCCGCCCGGGTGCCCTCCGCGCCTCGCCTCTGTCACAGCCTAACAGCGCCAACGGCCGCGGGGCCGCAACGGCTCCAGAGCGGCGCGCGCCGGCCGTTACGCCGCCGGGACGAGGGTGCCGGCGGCGCGTTCCCCGGGCACAGCCCCCGAGTCCAGACCAGGCCGCGGGCGGGTCTTGACGGACACCCCTTGCAGCCAATTGGCAGCCTGGTCGACTTTCCCGCTCTGCCAATAGGGAGCGGGACCCCGGTCTGGGCGGGGCGCTTCCCGCGGGCTGCGGCTGGATTCGATCCTGCGCGGCGGCCGCGAAGGCGGGCGGAGGCTTGGCGAAGGCGGCGGGGAGCGGATTAGGGGAGGAGGGAAGACCGGAAGCCACGGCCGCGTCCCCATCCTTATATTCGCTCCCCGGGGGGAGCAGGGGCTGAGTGGTGACTGGGCGGCGAAGGGGAGCGGCTGCCGCCGAGCCTCCTGTCGGGGCGCCCTGCTCAGCTGCGCCCCGCGAGCGGCGCGGCCGCGCACACCTCGGCCGGAG